CTCAAAGCCGCTTCTCGCGCCGGACACCAAAAGCGTCTGTGATCATGGATTGGCTCGCTAGCGGTAACCTTGGGGTCCACTATGTCGTCATCCATAGTCGGCATAGATTGATAGGCGGGGAGCCCGAAAACGTGGCGACAGTTGGATTCTGTTGCTCCAGACATTTGGAAGCACACATAAGAGTTTTCCGTCGCTGGGAGCTCTGCCGACCCCATCGAAGCGTTGGCGCCAACGGACGGTTCACTTCAACGTTCATGTTTCGGTCTCGAGAAATGTTCGACAGTGATTTTTTCGAGCTGAAGGGGAAGGCCGCAATCAGAAGTGGGCTCACGGTGGGAGAATCTGTGCTGCATCGGATTCTAATCCTTGCGCGGGGAGCAAGGATTGATTTCAAGATCCCAGAGAGCTGGAATGTTTCTCAAGGGGACCAAACTCCTGAAAATACCGTCTGATGGCTGGGTCGAGGAATCGGTGAACGAGGTGGAGTATGAGAAAGCCAACCGAAGCTATCGTTTCGAGGATAATACATGGAGTATTATTCACAGTCTTCGAGATCCATCGCAATGAGTTTCAGCAGACGCTAGAACAAGTAAGATGTCATTCGAACTTGCTTATTACGCACCAGAAGGTCATCTACTAACTCTATCTCACTATTGTACCATGCCAATGATCTGTCTTTTGGGGGGGATTTTCGAGTTGGTTATGAAGTTCTCGTAGAAATCGAACCTTTTAATAGGCATCATCGTACGTAACTCAAATTAACTCAGCTGACGGCTTCGTTATATCCCTAATGAGTTACAGACCAATATATACCGCACGGTCAGACGCGGGTTGGTTAGCAACAGGAGTTGGCGATATAAACTTGGTATCCTGTGAGATTTCTCGTTTTTGGATGTCTTAACAACTGCTGTGAAATTCACGAAGTAATTATCGTTATCCAGTACACTGACTCCGACGAATGGAATCCATTTGTCTGTTTGATGATGTCAATTAACGACGAACTATCCATAGTAAACACAAAGCAACATCTGTAGCAAGACTACCAATACGCTTCATGACGTGAGCTCTCAGGGATTCTCCGCCATTTCACTACTTGAAGATTGGAGCGAACCTCGAGCACGATTTACTCTTCTTTTTTCACTGTTCGGCACCCATGAATCAGGAACCGAAAGTATCTGCATGAATCATCGAAGTACTTTTTACCAAGAGACCTGAAGGGTCAACGCACTATTAGCGCCGTAGTAGCTAGCATATACTGTCTCCCAGGATTAGGATAATGATAGGGTGTTATCCTACCCAGAAGCCTTGAACTTATGGAACTTATTTGCTTTCTCAAGGGGTGAAGGATAGGTACATCATGGGGAAGCATCGCAGTACTATGACTACTACATTGAAGAATCCAAGATCCAGGATCGGCGATCCTCACCGGGATTATCGTGACGATAATCCCGGTTTAATGCCTTTCTGTCGCTGCCCGATAACACGAACATGCAAGGGAATCTTGACAAGAACAATGCAGGAGGAAATTCGAAGTTCTTCCATGATATCTTACCAACATCTTGATATCCAGACGTTGTTGCGCGTCGAGAGTTGGTTATATGCAGGAGTATGTATCCTCTGGACACGACTGACGATTTCGTTGGAATATGCTCGAATTACGCTTTGCAATCAATTCTGAAAGATGCTTTGAGGAGTTCAAGCTGCTACCTAAGGCCAAGCTGTTACCCAAGGCCAAGCTGTTACCCAAGGCCAAGCTGTTACCCAAGGCCAAGCTGTTACCCAAGGCCAAGCTGTTACCCAAGGCCAAGCTGTTATCCAAGGCCAAGCTGTTATCCAGGGCTATTATCTTCCGCGCGAGGCGTACAGCGAGCGGGAAAGCACTTTTAAAACGAGGCGCTATTTTCAAAAACAAGGATTCACCCCAGTTAACCCAAAATGTATTTCGCCATCCTATCCTTCGCTATGGACTTGGGCGCATCGCTTCTCCACGGTGTGGAGCACAACATGCGCTATTATATTAGCGCTCGCCGTCACGATCGATTTGGTATCATTCAGAAGCAACGGAATATTTCATAGCACAATCAGTTAGCCCCCCCCCACTGGTCCCAGTGCCTGATCGTGGCGTGGGGGTCACTGGCCAAGTTGGCCAGATCGAAACTGGGGC